AGAGTGAGGGATGGAAAAAGGGAAATGTTAGGGAAGTAGAAGGGCTGTAAATATACAGTGTGGAATAGTGGGAATAGTGGAATAGTGGGGAAAAAAGCTTAGCAGGGTAAAGTAGTAGTAGGGAAAAAAATTTAGTAGGGTAAAGTTCTGGGACTGGTTATGCCATTAAATATCTGAGTAACCTTTAACATGTTTTTTTTTTCTTTTTAGACCAAGATTTCTCCAATTTTAAAGAAACCCATATGTCCTTCCAGTTATAATATTCCAGAATTCCAAAGTACAGACAGCTATTGCTATGATTAATAAAACTCTATGGAGTAAGTATGTTCCATGTTTTTGAAAAAAGACACATTTAGCAGAGGGACTGGGGAGATATCTCAGTAGATTAAGTACTTCGCTGGCAAGTACAAGGGCCTGAGTTCAATCCCTGGTTCCACAAAAAAAAAATAAATAAATAAAATAAAAATAAAATAAAATTAGCAGAGAAAAACCCCAAACCCCATTTGAACTTTTCCCAAGTTCCAGTCTAAATATTTTTCTAGAACTACTCAAAAGTACTGGTCCAAATGAACTACTGTATTTTGAATACTATTCTTAATAAAATACCCAATGGTTGGTCAGGAAAGAATGAAAATAGAAACAGATGCTAAATCCTCTGGCAGAGATGTGGGCTGGATAACACAAAGCAAGATGACTGGCTTCCGCTGACCTCCTGGCTCTCCAAGCCCACAATGCCCCCTGTGGCCTCCTCCACAGACATGCTGCACAGCAAGCTGTTCCAGCTGCGGGAGTCTGGCGAGCAGCAGCAGCACTCAGAGCTGGATTCCAACCAGTCCCACTCCGCCGGCACAGTGCTCTCCTCCTCCTCCTCCACCAACATCGATGACTTGAAAAAAAGACTGGAGAGAATAAAAAGTAGTCGCAAATGAAGCTGCCACCCTGGCTCCCTGCAGCTTAGGTTACTAAACTAGAAGCCCTCATAGTGTGGCGTGGCCAAGCAGGCCAAGTGTGCACAAAGTGGCTGGAGGTATTGGCCAGCGGAAGAGGTGATGTGGCCACCCCAGGTCCCCATGCACCCACAGCTGACTGTGGATTAGTTAGTGTACAGACTTGTAAGCAGCTGTCCCTCAGCACACACTAGTGTCCATGGCCTTTTTCTGTTCTTTTCTTTTTTTGACTGGTCATTTGTAAAATTGTCCTAATCTTTCCTAGCTTTTAACTATTAGAACTCTTTAATAGTTTTTCTTTGAGTTTGTGATCTCTTCTCCCTGTAGCCCCGAAGGGTCACTAAATTCTGTATGAATGCATGGCATGACGCAACTAATTTAAGAGTCTTTTATAAATAAAGTTTACATTAACGAAAAAAAGAAAGAAAGAAACAGATGCTATGTATATAATGTCTTAATGTAATCTGTTTGTTGTTTCCTTTTCTGCTATTGTATTTTCCTTATGCTACCCACTGGTCAGACTCAGCCAAACTTATCCCTTTTGTCTCAAATTTCTGCAAAGTTCAGTTTTAATCCCATTTCTATGAAGCCTTTCAGTCCTGATCTAGCCCACATTCTTCTCTCTTTTAAACTGCTATAATACTACATTGCTATTGCATATAGTAAATGAGATTTCTAAAGATCTCATAGTAACAATGGACATATAGTAACTGCTCAACTGGACATATAGTAAGTAGTTGGTATTGCCATGCCTTTTACACTAATCATATATCATCAGTTCAATGTGTCTCAAATTTAGTGTGAAAACCTACTTCTTATCAGTGACAGGACAGTACAAGAAGAAACAAGAACAGATGGAAACTTGTTTTTTAAGTATAAAAATAATTAAAGGGCAATCTTAACTGCACTTCAAATTTCAGTATGAACCTTAAAAAAGAAGACATGAAATTTAAAATTATAAAAATTAATAACATTATAAGGAGCTTGAGTTTATTTTTGTATTGGCACACATACATTTTTTCAATAATCCTTTAATGTGAAAAAACGTGAAAGTTAAGCTACAGACCTCAGGCAACCAATGAAATACTTCAAGCTTAAGAGAAACATCCGCCAATCTTCCCATTGACCTAGTCAGCAGTAAGATGCCCAGATTACACTGACAGAAACACAAGGAAATCTGTTGTGCATTAAGGACGCTCTGAGAGGCTTCCACTTATACATCTTTCTTTTATTTATTTACTTTTTTTTCTCATTTGTGTATTTGATACAGGGTGTCACTGTGCAGATCGGACTCATGATGATCCTCCTGTTTTCAGCCTCCCCAGCACTGGGATTACAGGCATGCGCCACCACACCTGGACTCTGTTCCCACTTAGTGTGCCCAGGGGTGGAGCCAGTGCAGTATGTGGAACTGGGGATCAAACCCTGGTCTCTGTGCTTTCAAAAGCAGGTGCTTTGTCTGCTGAGCTATCTCACTGGGTCTATACAGCTTTCTTTTACATCTCCAACTATTTAAATGCTTGTTAAAACACTCTTTTGCATTCCATAATTCATATGAGACCAATTTTTTTTATGTATTTGATACAGGGTCTCGTTATGCAGCTCAGATTCATTCATAGTGATCCTCCTGTTTCAGCCTCCCCAGCACAGGGCTTATAAGCATGCATCACCGGGCCCAGTCTTGGTGGCTGGCTTGGCACAGGGCCAGCAAAACATGCAGTACCAGGGATTGAACTTGAGTCCTCGTACTTGCTTAGGCAGGTGCTTAGACAGTTGAGCTATCTCCACGGCCTGAAATGGGACCAATATTCTTAAATTCTACTGGGATACTACACTCTGACTTCCTATCAATGACCAGGAAAATTATATTGGGCATATATGACATCTACTTACTGAATACTATCTAGATAGCTTAAACTGTAGGACAATATTACTGAAATCAGCCATAAGTTACTGTGCTTATCCTAAGCAAACACCTCAATTGATGCAACCTTTCAATAAAAGTACTCATCAAGATTTGACTCAGTTGTTTTCCACAAATTTAGAAGATATGCATTATAAGGAAACAAACTGCAATTCTGGGAATTGCTGTAAAGCACAAAAACAGAACAAACTGCCATCAAGCACTAGACTCACACTGTGCATATGAGTTATAATAAATCAATGGTATAACTTCAGAGAAAATCAGAAAGCAGTTGGGAATCAGCCCACAAGAAAGTGGAGTCTATTACTTCCATCAGAAGTCTAAACTCCAGGGTGAGGCAAATTCTCTGGTTTGTGCCAGACACTCTTCCTATAAAATACAACTATCCAAGAACTTCATATCTTGATCTGTTGAAGCATATCTAACTATACACCAATCTACAAGAGCCTCAGAACACTCATGCAAATAATTATCTACCTATCTGTAGAGATCTCCCTAGCAATTAGACTCAAGCAAATAGCTTCAGAGGGATGAAAGACCAGGGCAAGGCACACAAGGGTGACATTTTGATTAGAAGAATGAAACACCAATGTTATTCTCATTTCTACCCCTTTTTCCAGACTCATCTTGTGTGAAGCTTTCCCCAATGACCCTAGCTCTCACTAATTACTGAAACACTAGTCCCAAGAAATAATTCTACTTTCCTTTTTGTTACCTGTTGCATGAATCTACTTCATCTCCCAATTTTGAATGTGAGTTTTCCAAAAGTACACGCCTAGCTACCTAGCCCCTAGTAAGAGCTTATTCCTAATACTAATATTGCTAATAATAGTAACAGTGAGGAGATGTAACACAGAGCCTAGGCAACAGTGGAAGCGAACCAGGCTGAATTCAAATCCTGATTCTACTATTTATTGACTGTGTGACTATGAACACATCCCTTGACTTTTCTACGCCTCATTTGTGATGAGATAACCTATGGTTGTCACACTGAAAATACCTGCTCCACAGTTTAGAATATAAAGGATGATCAACACAGCATAGCTACCTTCCTTTTCCCCTTAATAAGCACTTGTTGATTTTAATTAGTTGGAGCAAACTGGGAGGGATGGCACTGGCACCACAGAATTCTCCCACATTTTTCTCATGCACCCTCTTGCACACAGCAAAGGTCTCCTTTTCTATGCTACAGTCTTGAAGGAAAAAAAAAAAAAAAAAAAAAAAAAAAAACGCCAACCAAATAAGACACTCAGATGACTTTCTGGAACATTCACATGAGTGAGAAGACATTCCTTCTACTAGACCACCCCAGCCCTCCTCCTCCAAGTCTCCTGCTGACAGAAGGGCAGTTAGCAAAGCAGTGGTCAAAAGCAGCAGAAGGGAAAGGGAGATGAGCAGCTTTCCAGTCTCTTTTGCGTGCCTCTTTCTTGGGGGAACACTTGGCTAGATTCAGACCTCAAACCAACCTATAAATCCCTCCTCGCATCCCTGAAGAAAAAGCACCTCAAATTCTTGGCCTCTTCTTTTCTGCAAGCCTTCATCGATCAATTCTACCATCCCACTACCTGCTACATCCCAACTTCCTGCTACATCCAGCAGAACCTGTCAATTAATCTTAAGTGGATCTCATTCGTGCTGTTTCCAACTAGATGAAACAGCTTTTGCAGCTTTTGCCATTCTAAGTTAGTAAAATACTATATGTTCCTTTAAAAACAAAAACATTATTTAAGTTTCTTATCCATCGCATTTAGGTGGATTATCTATCATTTATGCCCCTGTCTTACCTAGATGTTCATTTCTCACCTGTGAGAAGCCACCATGACTTCCACTCCCAACACACACACAGCAAAAACAAAAACAAGAAAACCCACATTTCCTCTCCCCGGGGCATAGAATATGGTCATGGTCATTTCATTCTCCTTCAACGAAGGGAAGCGGCCAGCGACGCGTGGGTCGCCACGTCGGGGATACGCCGCGGTCCCCAGTGACCGCACCTGACATCCGGCTGCAGGTTCCAGGTTAGAAAACAACAGATCCCCGCCGCCCTCTGCCCCCAGCACGGGTGCGCACCGCAGGTCTCCAGCCCCTCGCAGGCGGCGCCCGCGTCCCGGCCGCGCGGGGACACCCACCAGTCGGCGTGCGGCGCATCCACCACCAGCAGCACCTTGGCCCTACGCGCGGGCGCAGGCGCGGGCGCGTCCACCAGCCCCGCCGAGGCGGCCGTCTGCTTCACCGCCTGGGACAGCGAGCTGAAGAAGCCACCGCCGCTCGCGGGCGCCGGAGTCGGGCTGGGCTGCGCCGAAGGCGGCGCGGGCTGCGGCTCGGGCCGCTGCAGGTCGGTCATGTAGCCGTTGGGCAGGTTGGCGATGAAGCTGCTGTCCGACAGCCGGCGCCTCAGGAAGTTCATCATCTGGCCGGGGGCCGGGGCCGAGGGGCCTGAGGGGGACTACTGAGGGAGACTGGAGGAGGCTGAGGGAAGCTGAGGGAGGCTGCGGAGGGAAGCTGCCGAGGGAGGATGCTGAGGGAGGATGCAGAGGGAGGATGCTGAGGAAGGCTGAGGCGCCGAGCTCGCACCGCCGCGCGCCAGCCCAGCAGAAGAGCCGCGGCGCACGGGGCGGGGCCGGCTGCGCGGGGCGGGGCGGGGCGGGGCGGGGGAGGGGCGGGACTAGAGTTGGCTCCGCCCTGCGCCGCAGAGCCCGCGCCGCCTCCCGCACCTACCAGCCGCGTCTACGCTCTGGGAATCTAGAGGCGCTTGCCAGGCCTCTCGCCACCTGCGCCTGACACGCGACAGTGCGGCGAGGGCACGGGAGCCGGTCCTCCCTACCCTCTTGTCTGGAGGAAACAGACTGGTGCCAGTGGAGATGGAGGAGTAGAGAGCAGTCCCCAAGCATCGCCTCTGGACAGGAGAGATCAGCCCCGCCCTGAAGAGAGGAAGAGGGACGCGTGCAAACACACAGACACACGTACACACATAGCAACGCACACATACACAGACATACACACTGACACAGGCAGACACAGAGACGCAGAAAAATATTCAGGTACACAGTAACATGCTCACATACACTCGACTCCTTTTCCAGAGCTAGTGAGAAGGTGCCCAGGGGCAGGAGAAAGGACCAGTTCACCTCCACTGACAGCTGTGAGGTGGGTTGCGAAGAGCCACCCGCTGAAGGAGAGGACCTTTTCTGCGCTGGGGGTGAGGAAGAAGCATAGATCTCTGCACCCGATCTGGAAAGGACTGTGTGCATGTCCATGGCCTCCAGCATGCCTCTCCTGCCTCCTGACCGAGCCTGCAAAGACTGGAGACCCCTCTGCAGAGCCCGTCGAGAGGGCTGCCCAAGGCCCCTGCCTCCTCAGCTTGCTTCCCAGACCTGCGCGGCTCCCCCTCGCCTCCCCTCCCCCACACATACAAAGCTGTAGCATCCTCTTTCTGTTCGGTTTTTCCCAGTCCACCGTTTGGCCTGCAGTGACCTCCACGGAGACTTTTCTGAATGCTACCTGCCTGAACGCACTCTGCACCGTGTGTGACCCTTGGTCCTCAGCTATATTTGTTTCCTGAGTCGCACTTGAGCAGAACCCAGCAGCCATACTATGGAGGCAGACCACCAAGAGGGTGTGACCTTGGACAAATTACACCTCTGAGCCTCTGCTAATACAGGGAGTAAATAACACTTTTCCAAGTTGTTAGAGTAAATGAGATCATGTGTGTGAAACATCTGGCCCACAGTACTGATGCATTTCCCAGTAAAAGTGCCTTATTTCTTATTATGATTACATTGTTTCTCAGCAAGTCCTCCCTGGGCTGAATGGAACCAGCAAGTGGCTTGTTACTCAAGTTGGCAGGCACTTCCTGCTTCCTACATCCCAGCTGCACTCAGCTGGGGCCTTGGAGAAGCACAATCCAGCTCCTAGCCAGGGTATCAGAGAGATGTTCAGTCCACTGGAATAAAGCAGGGCTCTCTCATGCTACAGTGACCCAGGCACTGTGGTAGGAACCAGAAAGATTGCTAGAAAGGAGACCTGGCCCTTGTCTGTGGGAAGCTCAGTCCACAGGAACTGGAGAATCAAGGGTGCAGAGAGGCACAGGGACAACTAGCCACAGTACAGTGTGAGAAATGCAACAATGTAGGTAAGCAAGGGTCTAAGAGCCCTAGGCAGTGAGGGACTCAGTCTGCCTGTGAGTTTCAGAAAAGGGTTCTTGGGGGAGGTGAAACTGAGATACATCTTAAGACACCTGGAAGAGTTTGCTAGTGGAGAAGTGGCAGAAGCACTCAGGCAGAGAGGGCATAGAGTTATGCTGTAGGGCATCCTCCAGAAATTCTACCCAGAATCCTCCATTGTTGGCCAAGTGGTTCATACCTTGAGTTTCTTAGGGCACCCATTGAAGTTAAAATATTGTGGTGACTAGAGTGTAAGCTTTTCAAGAATAAGACTGTGCCTTAGTCTCATCTCTGAATCCCAACATCAAACACAGTGCCTGACTCAGTTATTTGAGCACTGAACTGTATTCCTACCTAACTCTGTTCTTTTCTAATGGAAGATAAAGTTGATGTTATTAATAATGAAATCAATTCAATGTACTGTCTTTCCTAGAAGTATTTTTTTAGAGAATCAAAGAAGTCTTTTCTATAGGTATGTATTTCTAATGGTGGCATTTCAGACATTGGGTCACTTCTATTTTTTAGGTGATTGGCTATATATATATATATATATATATTTCCCCTAACCATTATGCTTACAGTATATGGATAATATTTTTAAAGCAACCAATTGACAGACATGTTTTGAGCACTTTATACACACAGAGCATTATGCCAGGGACCAGAGAGGAAGGAAGACGCACAGCTGGCTAATAGTCAGTGCATAGAAGGGGGAGGGTGCATGTTAAAGGAGCAGTGGAAGAAGTGATGCACAGTGGAAGATTTCACAGCGGAAGGGAGGCTCATCCTGGGGGAATGGGTAGAATTCAGATAGGCAAAGATGAAGAGAAAAAGCAACCCCAAACCTGGATAGTAAGAGCAGAGTTGAGAGTCTGATGGATGCACCCTGGCACTGCATAACCCTTGTCTGTATTTTTACTCAATTCCCTGCACTATGCCTTCCAGTATTTTGGGGAAAAGCTGGGAGACTAGGCTTGTGCGCCATCATTCCCTGTCGAAAGTTTTGCTTTCCACAGTTTGAGCAACCTGCAGTTAACTGTGATCAAAACACATTCATATAACTTATTATAATGCATTGTCATAATTGTTCTATTTTATTAGTGAATGTTGCTAATCTCTTACTGTGCCTAATTTATAAGTTAAACTTTATCACAGGTGTGTATGTATAGGAAAAACCACAGTATCTATAGCTAGGGTTCAATACTCGCCATGGTGTCAGGGAACTTGGAATGTATTCCTACAGATGACAGAGGCGATGGTACCTGTTTATACCATTAGAGTCTGTTCATCTTGTGTTTGTACAAGCACTGCAAAATAAGAGGTTCTGTCTTCTGCCACACACAGAAAGAGCTACAAAGCCTGATGTGACATCTAACTCACATAAGTGCCCAATCGTGGGAACTAGATCAGAATGTTCCCAGAGAATTGCTTTCACTTTAGACTCCTTCCTTAAGGCAATAGAGGCCCATAAGGGGCTGGAGGGATGGCTCAGTGGTCTGGGGCACCTACTTGGAACAAGCTTGGCAAAGGCATCAGGGGCCGCGGTTCGATCCCCCAGCACC